AAATGTCGGTGTTAAACAAAAGTTATGTCACAAAATATATGAATAACGTGTACTTTTTCTTCATACAAAATTGACATGCTGTAGAAGACAAAAAAAGCTGGCCAACCTCTAATCAGAAAAGTTACATTAGCTGAGAATATATATAAAAAAGTTTGTACCAAATTGATGAAAAAAAACAACATCCTTATTATATAATAGTACTTTTTTCATTTAAAATGTTTAAGTATATCCGAATAGAATATCAGCGCAAAAAGGATTTTAAAAAGACATACTAGTAGTATTTTCCTTTCGAGAAATAAAAAAAATGCATTTTTTTAATATATCAATTAAAAAAACATTGAACGAATGTATTGGAAGCGTAATTCATAAAATACCATGAAGTAAAATTGTTGATCATGACTTTCATGACATAACGGGTATAATTGATAAAAATTTAATCATCATCTCTCTTTTCGTAAAAATGACATTCTTCTAATTCATATACGTACACTGTATACACTTTGTTAATGATAAAAAAATATCAAAATAAGAAAAGGAAACAAAGTTCTAAAAAATATTCATCATACATGCGTATACTTGTATTCCTACAATATATATATGTCAAACCTGTAAAGAAATCGGACATACCTCGATTTGGAATGGTGCTGCAAAGATAATAGTTGTACTTGTCACAAATCCCCGCAAACCAGCTGCTTAAATATAGATACACGCAATGCCAGTTGGGGTTATTGGGATTTTTAACGTAGAAATTTTCGTATTGTTGTGTCTGTCCTGAGAGGGTTGTCAGTTGGTAGTTTGACGTTGTATCCACGTCATAACCAATGTATACGTATGATACCTGGCGCCTGTAATGCAGATCATATACACAAAAAGAGTCCTTGCCCTCTTAGATTGAGGTATATAGGAAAGATAAAAATTGCATACTCCAGCTTGCAAAATTTCAAACTCTAAAAAAATTTGGTTTTAACTCGAAGATAAATGATAATTGATATGCATTATTATTATTAATTTGGTTTAGTTTTTCCTCGGAAAATTTTAAGTGTCTTAGTAAATTTATGTGACAATGTTATGGCCATTAAAACCATAAGATATGTCAGAATTGCCTGCATAGGATTTTATGTCTTCCATTTGATTAGAAATGCAGGGGCATGTCTTTTATAGGAACAAATTTTAAAACGAAACAGTCTACTGAAAAATAACTGGATGATAAATGCGTGTTTACTATCTCTATGGTAATAAGCAATACTACTGTCGATACAATAACCCTTTTTTGCTATTACAATACCACGAAAGTGAAGTGATGTCCTTTATACAAATTGCTAGGCGCTTATATACCAAATTAACTAACATCTTAAGAAAGGGCACTCGGTGAATGTAACCGGTAGAAAGGGGATGCACTCTCCTCCATGGCACCTGATCCCTGATCTGATTTAAGGAAATGTCTGTGTTTGCTTTCCTCATATTGATATTGTTTCATTTGACTTTTTCGCTTGGGTACAGTTCCTTATAGAGTTTAATCTTTTGGTTCATTTTGACATATTTGAAATTATCAGACGAATGTGTGAAGACTATGAAACCCGAGGAATAATCTGTTGCAATTAATTATGAAAAAATAGTATGTGATAAAAATATTAGGACAGAGCTTAAAATTCTTGATAACCTTAAGTTAATAAGCCTAACAATATAGAAATATTCTAAAGTTTACCCAACTGAATCCAAAAAAGTGTCAATTGCAGTTTCCATTGCACTGTCAACTATAAGTGCCAGGGACCCTCCTTGATTCACACAAGATGTCTGGGCGCCGGTACGGTTGTTTTCAGAGGTACTCACCCAAAAACACACCTTACCGTAATTGGTATCATCATAAAGTGTACTTTTCGATCCCATTCCATTACAGCCGGTCGACGATTGGCTGTCTGAAAATTCTATACATTACGTTTTTTCATTGAACATGAATAAAGAAAAATGGATTGATTGATATAACTGTTTAACGCCGAATCGCCAATTTTTCAATCATTTTGAAAAATATAAATTTAAAGAAAAATTGAGGAATAAAAAAAGATGTTTTCCATGGGTAGTAAAATGAAATAATTTTGATTCTTCAATATTTCTTTCATTTTGATTCTAAAAGAAATATTGAAGAATCAAAGTATTTTATGGAAAAATCTTTTTGAAATTAAAAATAAAAAGTTCCGAATATGTTGGTCTCTCCAATAAATCTTAGATTGGAAGTCTATGTGCTGCAAGATACGTGAAAACATTTGTAGATAGACGGCTTCTAAATTTCACTTTTCCCCCTCTGTCCATACAATGAGTATTAACTTTGATGTAGTCTTCTTTTGTACTTAAACTTATTGAAATATTTGAAAGTGGCATTTTGAAACAATTTCAAAGAACCTTAGTTTTAGTGGTCACGACAACATTATGATTTATACTTACTTATGCTTTGAAAAACACATAAGAATAAACAATTCCAAAATAAAAAATCAAGCATCTTTTTTTCAGCTAACTCATACATCGGCTACCTTTAGTAAGAATGAAACTTTTTCTCGTTTCAACTATTAATATAACAGGTTTTTTGGACAAAATTGGTGTACAAAAAGAGTGATTTTGATAATGTATGATGAAATATTGGAAACGTAGGACATTAATTAACCTCCACAAAGAATGAAACCATTAGTAGCTAACATTATTTTGATTCTGGTCTGCTCTGTAGTAAATATTTTGACTAAAGGCTACTTTGCTTCTGAAACAATTGATTTTACAACATTTTGGCTAGAATGCTTAGTTAAATATTTAAGGTAGTCCGATCCTCAGGTTTATAAAATTAGCAGTTAAGTAATCAAAAATACTCATAAGAGTATCTCTGAATCCACGTAAATGTAATGTAAATGTAAATTTATCCACCGTATTTCTTTAAAGTTAAAGATTAAAATTAATCATATTACATAGGGAAAATTGTCAAATCTTCAATATTTTTGCAGAAAAAGCGAATTGGAATATCAGCAATGCATTTTCTAATTGCAAATTGATCAACAAATATATTTTAGGTTAAAAAACGATAGGTATCCAGGCATTCAGAGAAATTGTCATTTTTTTTAATACTTATTTAGTATTTTTTTGTCTTCTATTTCCGTCATGTAATATATAATACATAGTGTAAAAGACTTTTGCTATCATTGCAAGACACCACAAATCACTTCTATTTCATATCATGCTAATAAGCATTGGTATCTAGGGCTGAATTCAAGAAAATCTTATTTTCCTAAAACTGTATTAATTTTTTCTCCTTTTATAGAGTACAAATGTCAACTTTTCTAAGACTTTTTCTAAGACTTCCAAAGACCTTTATAAAGATGGATAAAATGAAAATTGTTGAATGAAAAAATTTCATTTTCAAGCTTCATTTTGATGCATTTCAAATTAAATATTAATTTTTGGAGTAATCCTTAAGTTAAGAAGAGAATCTAAAGTTGTTTACGAAATTAATATTATTTACGAATTTTCCAAATAACAAGGTTCAGTTTACCATATTACTCACTGGTTTGCTGGCTTGGTATAAAACCCGTATGCTACTTTTACGTATAATTTTTTTTAAACTTCACGAAGTGGGTCAAAATCGACATTTTTTTATTTAGACAACCTCCCCTTTCATTTGATTATTATTATGGCAAAGTTCGTGTTTTGCTCTGGGAGGCCCGAAGTAAGTGTCAATGTCAGATCAAAAAATAAAATAGGAGGTCACAATGGCATTATCCAATAAAGATTCTGTAAAAGTATTAAATTTTGTAAAGTGGTATAGGAGGAGTTGCGGGGTGGGTACCCTTCAATGTTAAAGAAAAATAGAAGAATACTATAGTTCCAATATTTTGCACATGTATGGGAAACCCAAAATAGTTATGTTTCTGATCAAAAAGTTAAATATGAGGTCCACAATGGTTTTATTTAACAAAAAAATCTCCAATAAATTCCATTCAGTGATATAGAAGAAGTGTGGATATAAAGAGATGGGTACTCAAAAGTGTAACAGACGGACGGAAGGACATCTTGATCACTATATATATACCTTCCCATTTTTCAAATAAGGGTAATATACTAGTAAGCAATTTACTTGGCTATTGAAATACTTATGACATTAATATAAATATATTGTGAGGAATAATCTTTCATTGTTGGTGGGATTTAATAAAATTTAAGAACTCATTATAGGGACAGCATATCAAATTAACTTACTTGAGAAAATGGACAATTAGGATTTAATTGGAGATGGTCAAAATTAGTACTGGCACTGTAGAGTTCATTTAAGGAATGTTTTAAAGTTTTGTGTGAGTTATTGGTGTGTGAATCACACAGACTTGTCATACTTCATGAAGAGCGCTTCATGAAAAATATGCCTACGTGCAAGTCTGTGCGATTCACACACCAGTAATTCACACTTAACTGAAAAACATTCCTTATATGTTTGGAAGCAACTAAAATATACTCAATATTTGAATTTCTCGCTGTCCTATGTTGGAGTGCTTTTTTATGAAAAAGAATATTTTTATTTGGAATATTTCTGCAATCAAAAAGGCGTTTCATCATACAAAATAGATTTCAACTTAATTTTCTTTTATTTTATTAACAAAATATAGTTTAAGTTTATGGCTTAATAATAGATTGATAATACGAAAAACACATATTGTTTCAAACAATGTGAATTTATCTAAGTAATCTTTAATGATTAATGTATGGAATATTGATAAAGTAACATGGTGATATTATAAACAATGTTTTTTGTTGGACAACAACCCGTATCATTTCATTTTATAATTATAAAAATACACGATATACAGTGTATATACTTAGTGTGTAATAAAACAGTTATATGCACTGTGACTTGTAAATGATACATGTATACTTGATTGCTGTAAAACCACATATTACCTCGAAAACAGCAAAAATAAAACATCTACGAAAGTGAGTGATTTCACAGTATGTTAGTTGTGTATTCAGTAAAATTTCAGATCTATATGACTTGTAAATATACCAATGGTGGATTTACAAAGAAGCAATACACACTCAAATAACATTTCCTCTCACATTTCAAATCCCCGTGGAATCTCCCCAGAAGTGTATGATAACAATTTGAAAACTGTTCTGTGTTGGTGGGGATAACCTCTGCTGATGCCAAATACATCAATGATAGATATATACAAGTGAAGAGAAAAAGGAAAATTCATTTCCTAAAAAGTTTTAGTAAATTTGCACCAAAGTTCTTCACTTCAAGTACAAGAATTGGAAAATCCAAAGCAACAATCCCTCCAATAACAACGGTTATGATAATTACTCCCACAAAACCAAAAGTTTTCGCGGAGGGTCTGGGGTCGTCTGCTGATGTTTTCTTGCGGACGGAAGAAGATAAGGTAGATTTCTCAACCTCTATTTCTTTCTTGATTTCTGCAATTTTGGCATTTAGTTCCTCTGTTGAATTGATGGTTGAAGAGTATCTCACAACACATCCTTCTGGGCATGTGCAGTTCTGAGGTGTGGATGAAGGAGTGATTGATATCGTGGTGGAGGAAGTGGATTGGGTTGAGGTTGCTGAAGTGGATTGGGTGGTTGTCGAAGTTGATTGAGTGGTTGTGGGAGATTCAGTGGTTGTGGGCGATTCAGCGGTTGTGGTAGATTCAGTGGTTGTTTCAGATTCTGTTGTGATGATGCTGGAAGGAACTTGAAGGAAAAAAAAAATATTTTGAATTTTAAATACATTTTTTTCTTCCAGACACATAGATAATGCTAAACTATTGCAAAACTAATGACAAGAAGAAAATTCCGATACGATTTTACATGGACTGGGGTGAGGGTGGGGGGTTACCTTTTTCAGAGATTGATGATAAATTGATAAGTAACGCAATAGCGAGTTCCTGTTTTATATCCTTTTCAAAAGTTATAACATTGATGTCAGACCTAAAAAATCAAACATTATTCGAAAGGTCAATCTTCAAAGCCAGAATTTTAATAAAATTTAATTAATATTTTAAAAAAGATAATAATAACAAAAAACATTTTGAAAATGTTATTTTTTTTTATTTTGAGGATCTTTTATTGAACTGTGTGACAGACATTGTACACGAATGCATATCTTTTTATATGTTTTAAATTTACTATTACATATTTACGTCAAACTAATGGCCTGATTCGAAGTATTTGGAAAACATTATTACTGAACAAAATATTTTCCATTGTGTGTAGATGATTTCTTGATTCTTTTCATCTTCCGTAATTTAAAGTACATGTATAATGCATATATTCAACAAACGATGACGTACTAATGTGTGCATCCATTCTTAAATAATGTATATGTAGCTGAACAAAAAATTATCCATTGTGTGTAGATAATTTTTTTTATTCTTTTCATCTTCCGTGATTTAAAGTACATGTATAATGCATATGTTCAACAAACGATGACGTACTAATGTTTGCATCTATTCTTAAATAATGTATATGTAGCGATGCAATTAGTTGCATACAAAAACCCTTTTAGTGTCTGTCATCGATTGCTGATCACATTTATAATATAGTCCAATACCGGACTTCTTTTTTGTCATGGTTGATTTTTTTTTCATGTTGCCTAACTCATTTAATGCACTAAGTAATACAAATGTGTTTCATTTACTTTCATTTATTACTCAGATTCTGTACAAAGAAGTACTCTGTAATTTTATAGGATTATTTTAAGCGGTTCAGCTGTTTTCAAAATGATAACATTGTATCTAATAGTACTGAATTCTGAACTCTTTTTGTTTAGTCGGGACCAAACTACAACTTTGGAAATATAAAAAGTACTGTTTTTTTTTCTTTCGGCGAACATTTTGGTACATGCAATGAACAATGTGAGAAATATATCCTTCCTTTCCTTGAGACCTATTCAAAATTCGTAAGCCCCAGTCACGTTTAAAGTACCCCATATGCACAATCCAGCATGTCGTAGAAGATATGTAGGACACAGTGTGTAGATGTGCATATTGTCAGGAAATTCCGATTCTATTATTTTGCTGGGACTTTCGACATTTTTCAAGTTCAAAAAGATCCTAACTTCATATTTTACCTTAAAGCAGATGCCAATATGAAAAATCCTCTCGGGAATGGAAAACTACATTAAGCTCACTAAGAATCAATTAACTAAAATCTATATATACTGTAACCCCTCTAATATCGCCATACAAATGTTGATATTTCTCTTTATTAAATAAGAAACAAGTAAGGTCATTCTCAAAAGCTTATAACCAATTGTTTTAAGAAATAATCAATGATTGCATAAGTATGAAATCAGTACTAGTGAGAAAACAAATCTCCATTAATTAAACAATAGGTACGTACAGGTTACTCCTGTTTTCCCTGTCAGTAATTTTATTCCTCTGTCAGAAATTTTCACGCCAAGCAACTGATAATAAACATTGGCATCACAGGCCCCTGAGGTTACTTACCCGTTATTTTTTCCTGTATAAAAAATGCAACCCTATCTCCAGTAATGCAAGTGTAAGAAAAATAAGGTCAGGTGCCTGTGATTGGTTTCTAGGGCTACATTGAAGGAAATTATATGTCTCAAAATAGTATAAATTTCAATATTTTAGGGGAAAGGCATTCATTTTGAGACTTTAAATATATATATTAATGCATAGATTTCATTCAAGAGTTATCGTACTTGGTTGAAGAAAGGATATCCTTAAAATATATTTACACTAAATTTTATCTAAACTCGACATACCTCTGTTTGGAATAGTACTACAGAGAAAATAGTAGTTGTGGTCACATTTCTCAGCGAACCAACTTGATGAATACAGCGACACACAATGCCAGTCTGCATGGTTGAGGTTTTTGGCGTAGAATTTTTCGAAAACTTGAGTCTGCCCAGAGAGAGTTGCTAGTGCGTAGTTGGACGTTGTATCCACGTCATAACCAATGTAATGTTCTGAATTTGTTCGACTACATGCAAGTAAAAAAGAGGATATGGAATAGGAAAGCAGGTTCATTCGTTTGTAATGATTACCGTCCATGATGTTTACAAATATACATAGCATATGAAATTTGGAAGTTTCAAATTAAACAAAAAATATTAATAACAATAAAAAAATCTAAAAATTACAAGATGCTGTAATTAGTCAGTAATAACCAAACGTTTGTCTCTTAATATACTCATCTTCATATTCTGATATTTTGATAGCCATAAGCCACAAAATAATTTTATAATTTCAAAAAAAGTCATTTTTCTATTTACACTGTATAATCGTCCTCATGGTGAAAATCGAAATTCAAAAACTTTATTTCACATCTTCAAGAAAAATCAACAGATATTGAAAAATAGGAATACATGGAATCTTCTAAAAAAAACATGAGTTTAGCTGGGAACCAAGTTTTTTTTAAGGTTTCATCAAAGGTCAACATGTCAAAAAAATTATTTTTACAGTAGCTCCAATACTATGTGGTTTATAAAGTTGAAACTTTTACAGTTTATAAATATATCATTGATTAACAGATAAAAAGTACTACTTAATTACAAATACTGAATTGAAATATTTATCGCGAAATTTTTTTTTTTAATTTAAGTTGACAAAAACCACATGTGGCACAAGTCATAAAAATGTCTATATTTAAATTTTTTTACACGTAATTATTACTTTTAGTGAAAGCCATAATTGCAGAAACAAATACATGTTTATCAATGAAGGGCAAATTGGACTTCGTTAGCCTCTGGAAAGTTGTTTTCCCTGTTTATTTTGTCCAAATGTTAAGATTTGAAACCGAAAGTACATTGCAAATGGCGGATTTTATATAGGGGTCATATCCTCATACATGTCATGCTTTCAAAAAAAGACTTTCAAAGACCATTTACGTCCAACTTGCCCTTCATTGATTAACATATATTATTTCTGCAATTATGGTTTTCACTAAAAGTACAGAATTCAGCAAGTTCATTTTTGGTTAAAATATACAATTTGGTGATATATATTTTTTCTTGATAAATATTAAAAAATTGTTTTCAAGTGATACTTTCTATCTGTTAAACAATGATATATTTATAAACTGTAAAGGTTTTAACTTTATACCTCACATTGTTTCTGAGCTATTGTAAAAATAAATTTTTGGACATGGTTGACCTTTGGTGAAATCTTAAGAGGAGGTCAAGCCTCTTGTACAAAAGAAATTTTTTTTTTTTTACTTTCAATCGCCTTCCGGATGAGAAATGAAACTCCCTAACATTTTTGTGTATTTTCAAACACCCTCAATCATATTTAAATTGGTAAAAATATAAGACGAATTTAGCATGTTTAAAGAGTGAGATGTTTGTAGAATAAAAGCAAATTTCGACCCACATGCCCCACGGATGAAAATAAAAAAAAATCTCAATGCACATCTACAAGATACTCCTAATCATTTTTTTAAAATATAGATAGGCTACTGTAAAAATGTAAGAGATATTCAGAGATCAATGTTTTTATAGAAAGTGGCGCTTTTCACCACCGATCGCCCCAGGTTGAGGGGTGCGAAAATCCAAAACATAGTTGAATATCTACAGTACACTCGATCACTCATAGGAGTTCAGGGAATCGAACCCCCCCCCCCCCCCCCCAAAAAAAAAGGTTGTCCCCGAACCGCCCTTGAGACAAAGTTTTTATATCTTATTGGATATCTACAGGATGCCACAAATCCTATTCCGGAAGGCGAGTTGGCTTTGCTGCAGGAATTGTAAGCAGCAGAGTTTAGGGAGCCATGTGTCTGTAGCAAAACATTAAGATATTTGGCCCAAATCTCCCCTATAGGAGTGAAATCGGAGTTCTGAAAATCTAATGAGACATCTGCAGGACACTCCAATCACCTTCCAAGATGTGTTAAAGGTACCACCAATCATATTCAAAAAGATTAGTTGGCTATAGCTACTGCTAAAGATGTAAACGTAGGTTTGAGGAGGAATATATATTGACAGACGGACAGGGATAACAAAAGTATACTCGAACATTCTTTAGAAAGTATGGATGTGAAAACTAGCTTTATTGTTATTTTTTTTTTTGGGGGGGGGGGTTATAGAATTTAAGATAACCTTTGTAAATTAAACTTAGTATCTTTACAGCTCTATTTCCTCAACCAGAATATTAATATTTTTTCCCTAAAACTTACCTTACTGAATCCATAAAGCTGTTTACAGCAATGTGCGTTGACTCGTCCATTATAATGGCCAAGAATCCTCCTTCATCAACGCATTTTGCTTGAGCACTGGTGAGATTTCTCTTAATGGTGCTCACCCAAAAACAGACTGGACCGTAGGATTCGTTATAGAATAATGTAATATTTGATCCCATGCCATTGCAGTAGTTCGTCAGACCACCTGTAAATGAACGAATCATTGGAAGAATATCTAGAGTGTTTATGCCATTAATTTTGGTCAGTTTTACATGCATTTTATGTGCAGTTTTTTTGTAATTCTCATCATGATTAACGAATCATTAAATCTTCATTGGGTACCGTACAGTCAAACCTCATTATCTCAAACTGGAGATAGCCGAAGGTTGGAGATAACGTTATTTTGAATTCCAACTCTATTAGTCATATGTAAGGTATTCCCATATCAACAACATACAAACTTGAGACTTTTCAACTTTGTATACAACCACCCCCCACGATAAATTAATGTCCGGGCATTTTGATAACTCTGACAGCTGTTTTTTTTTTCATTAAAAATGATCAACTTTGTATACAACCACCCCTACGATAAATTAATGTCCGGGCATTTTGATAACTCTGACAGCTGTTTTTTTTTTCATTTAAAATGGAACTCATAAATTTACTTACCTTGTCATTAATCATTTGCAAAATTATTTTGTAAAAAAAAACATTCTGATAGTACACACAAGTACTCAGAAGTTGATATTAAAAAGATGATTGAGTTTCAATGTGGTTTTGGACATCAGGTCTTCCAACAATAACTGTATATTGGAATTCCCATGGTACTAATTTCGCCCTGTTATAAGCAGACCTAGTTTAGTATTCATGTGAAGCAGAATTTGTTCAAAATCTTATACGTGAAAAGAAGAAAACACTTGCTGTGGCCTTTCACTCGATATTTTAAGATATATCAGCGACGTATTGTCAAATGACTATTTCCATTCTAAGTCAACACGATATATCCAGTGAGCTTGAAATAAAAGATACCACAGAGTCTGACAGATCTGTTTCATATTCGGATATTTTACTTGAAAAAGACGTCAAGTATATTCTAACAACCAAGCTTTATGATAAATTTGATGACTTTAACTTTTCAATCTTCAACTTCCCTTACTTGTGCAGCAATATACCTTCATCACCTGCGTACGGGGTTCATATCTCTCAGTTGATTCGATATGTTAGAGCATGTTCTACGTATGAACAATTTCTAGAACGAGATAGGTTGTTGACAAGCATGTTGAAAGAATATCAACATTCTCGTTTAAAGTAATTATTTCGTTAGCTTTATAGTTGATAAAATGATTTTTTCATCAAAAACAATGTATCATTAAGTCAAATGCTAACGGATGTTTTTTTAATACTAATTGTTAGGCCATTGTTTACATACCGATTTGTCGACGGACGGATATTTCTGGTATTTCCCAATCATGACGTGGAGCACATGGCGGATGTGACCGGTTGGCAGGGGATGCTCACCACTCCATGGCAAGTCTGTGTTTGCTCTGCTCGAAAATTTATAATATTTGGTGGTCTTTTGGGCTTGAATAATGTTCGTTATCTCCATATACTAGTATTTCATTCGAGATATTGAAGACCAGATATTGATATTCAACTGTGCATGTTATTATTTGAGTACATTTGCAGTAATAAAATTACCTTGTTTGACTTTGAACATTCTTTGAAGTATCATTCCTTGCAAAATGGGACCAATAACGACTAAACTTTGTATAATAACTAAACTATGTACAATTATGTTTAATGGAGATATGGAAATAAGGAACAGTATCCAAGTTCAAAAGTCAATTGAAAAAAAAAAAATTGAGAGCAGAGCAAAGACGGACCACTAAATCATCAGAATAGGAATCGTGTTCCATGGTGAAGTAAGCATCCCTTACCACGTACGCCTGTACTCCTTGTCACTATCAAGCAAACGGATAAAACGGTATACAATTCTGTGTAGTCTTACAGTGGGTATCAAAACGCCCGTCAGCATTCGACTGAATGAAAGGTTTTATTTTCTGACAAGGTCATTGCAGACTGTTAAGCAATAAGGATAAAAGGTTTATAGGTTGTGGAAGTTGTTCATAAAGAATTCTGATGGGATATTTTAAGGGGATATAAGAATTGACAAACTTACCATGCAATTTTTGATTTAAACCTTGGCCAACAAATTTGAAGAATGCAAAAAGGCTTCACAAATGTGTAATTTATAAAATTAAGCAATTTTTGCCACAAACCAACATAACCAATGAGAAAACATGGTAAAAACGTTACCGTAAAACGCCAACTTGAGACATGATAGAAGGCTCAAAATGCTATATCATCTTTAAGCAAATTAATGTTGTCAAATTTTATATTTCATGTTAACTGTATTAATTATAATAGATTAATGATATTAAAAAAAAAACAATATTGGGCCTACGTTTGATAACAAAGGAATTCAAGGGACTTCAATATTTCAATTTTATATACACTGAAATTATTTTAAAAAGTTAAAGTAAAGTACATTGTATAAAAGAAGAGGGTACTAAACTGTATCACTTGACCATATAGAAAAAAAAACATAATTATGGATATTTTTTTTATTCAAAGAGGAAAATCTCCATTTTGATCATTTGGAAAACAATAATGTTAATAAGAGTATATCTGCACATTGTCTTGCGAAATATTTGTTAAAAATATTGAATTCTATTCCAAATCTTGCTATTTTCCAATGCTGCAGACATTATGATTCATGATTTTGCACAAGTTTGCAAAAAAATAATTCTCAGAAATGAAAAAAAAAACATTTTAAAATTATCAAATGTCAATCTTGTTATTTATTGTATATTCGACTAGTTATGAATAATATTCTTTACAAGCATTTTGCATGGAAATAACAGGTTCTCAAAAGTGAATGAAAACCTTTTCGAATATCAAACATATTATGATTTAATCTACATGTACAAAAACAAATAACAAGTTTTCGAATATAAATAAAATTTTAAACATGTAAACCACAAGATATTAAGATAACAAAAGTACCGCATATAATATTATTAAATGGATTGAAAAGAAAAAATACTAATTACTATAAGAAATAAACTGCATCGATACATACTTTGAAAAAGACAGAAAATTACATATATCCAAAGTTCTATAGACACCCACATCCCACTGCAATGCACTAGTAATGCAACAAACACCAAAATTAAATTATTGGACAATATTCAAACACAATTATATACATTTTGTGTCGTCACGAGATTCGATAGAGTACTGTTATTGACTTGTAACTAATCTCACGTGACCTCGAGGCTGACAAAGGTATTGAAAGGATGGTTAGATACACATAGCTTTGACCAACTCTGAGCAAATATTATGAAAATCATCGCTCTAAAATTGATTTAAATAAATTGGAGCACAATTCACTTTTTGAAAACTTATCTAAATACAATATATAGATTGATGTTTGGAGTCAACTTTACTGGGTATTTTAACGTGCTGTCGGTAATTTTCACGGCTTTCAATATTTAATGCTAGTTTTTAATTTAATTTGAGAATCTGGAAATATTTCATAGTAAATGATTTATAATTTAAATTTCTTTAAAAATGCAAAATTATCAATGAAAACCTGACTCCTTATCTCCGCTATAAAATAAAATCGGAATCAATACTCAGGTATTGTTCTTCACAGCTGTAGTATCAGAGTCATGATTTTAAGCATTGGTTTCCAATAGATCATCAGCAAACTTAAAACCATTTGTAAAATATCTGTTCATTTGCTAAAAACCCGTTTGTTTCTAAATGATATCTGTAAATGATATACTTTTTTAAAAGAACATTAAATATGTCTTCCAATTTCAAAAAGTATATGTACATGATTTTGGAGTATTACCGATGTCAGGTTAGGCAGGGATAGCGTAGAGATTTTTAAACTACTGAACAGAAAACATCGAATTTTTAATTGATATTAGTTGTCTATTGTAACCAAATGAAGATTTGCTCCTATTGATTTATCAATCGTCATTGTTTTCTCTTCTGACACAGGATTAAGCCAATCAACAAAATTAGGTCAACATATATGCAGATAAAAATAGGTCAATACATATTCAGATAAAAAAGACCCGAAAATCAGGTCAACATATATTCAGATAAAAAAAACCCCTAAAAAATCAGGTCGACTTATATTCAGATAAAAAGACTCAAAAATCAGGTCAACAGATATCAACATCAAGAACTTAATAAGTAAGATCTGTAAAATCACATATTTTCGTTGGATCAAATTTTCAAGGTTTGTAAAAGAAATTTTGATATGTGAAGATTTGATTTCACAGAACTTAAAATTACTGTGAAATCACTTATTTTCATGATGGTTTGATTTTCGTTGTGTTCAATGTATGGAGAGACCCATGAATTTATGGCCACATATCGAAATGTAAAATTTAAAATGTATTACTTCTCCAACAACGAAATCAAATCCCCACAAATACAAGTGTACAAGGTAGTAAAATACTGCATTTTTTGTTTTGGACAAAGATTTCAAAAAATAAGAAATAAACGGAATCATATTAATCAAGGTATAGAAGACTATATACATGTGCAGTTGCAAATTACATCGAAATTCTAGGCATCAAGAAGATGGAGCACTTCAAAACATGAGGAAGACCTTTATGCATGTATGATGATTTTTAATCTCTATTTGAAGGGGGAAAATAATAATAAACCTCTTTCTAAGAATAAAAACTCTTCGCTTCATTTTTGTTTTTATGAATAATCAAAACTAGTTCAATATACAGAGAATTAAAATGTATACATGTAGCAATTTCTTAAGTTTTAACTATTGGGTAAACAATCTATTTTCAATTATTAACAAATTTGTTCCAAATCTTTTTAGTTCAATGACAAGAAACGGAAAATCCAAAGCAAATATTCCTCCAAGGAAGAGAATAATAATGATTACTCCGATGGAACCGAAAGTTTTGGCGGAAGGTCGTGAATCGTCTGCTGATGTTTTTCTACGGATGGTCGAAGACAGTGAGGATTTTTCTACCTCTAACTCCTTCTTAATTTCTGCGATTTTCGCGTTCACTTCTTCTGGGGAGCTGATGGTAGGCGTATGTTGTACAACTGGGCACGTACACGATTGTAGTGTGGAGGAGATAGTATCTGTTGTCATGGCAGCAATGGCGGAGGTTATCGCTTTCTCCGTCGTCATAGCAACAGAAGGGGCTGAAAAAAAATAAACTAGAGAATTTTAGAAATTTAATTTTTCTTATTTGGAGGAAAATGTTTTTTTTTTTTTAATAAAGAAAGGTAAAGATCACAAATAGTGATAGATCTCATAAAAATTTCAAACAATACAAGTTTGTAAACAGGGCATAAATAGAAACCCCTGATAAATAACAGAGGTGGGATCAGGTGCCCAGGAGGAGAAAGCATCCCCTGTTGACCGGTCACACCCGCCTTGGGTCCTATTTATAGATCGGGTAGACAGAGCGTCCACAGTCAATTTCAGTGAAAGAAATAAAAAACAAAGGCCTGGCCATTGGTATGAAAATAGTAACGTAAAGTATGACCCACTACTAGTAATTTAATTGTCTTATTCAAAACATACCTTGATTTGGGATGGTACTACATAGAAAATAACGGGGAACATCACATTTCCCTGGATACCAATAGCCCAGATATAGATAAACACAGTGCCAGTCTGCATGGTTGAGATTTTTGGCGTAGAAATGTTCATATGTTTGGATTTGTCCAGAAAGCCGTCTGAGTCTGTAGTTCGATGTTGTGTCCACGTCATAACCAATGTAGACTTCATCAGAACTTCGCCTGCATGCAAAGAAATATAAGACATATTTACTATGAAGAAATCGTTGCTAAATTGCAAAAATCATCTTTCATTAAAATCGTAGAATTTTTTCACTTTTAAATTTTCAAATTCTACGTTGTTAATGGGAAGGGAACATAAGGGCAATTGATTACCATTTTTGAATCTTTTTATAAAGTTCATTTTTGATGTGTTAAAGGGGAGTTGAGAGATGAAACTACCCTTTTAAGAGAAATTGATATTTTGATATTTGTTCTTTTATTGATCTTTACTTTAACTGTAGAAGTATGCCTCTCTCTCTCTCTCTCTCTCTCTCTCTCTCTCTCTCTCTTAAATATCCTCGGATTTGTGGAAAGTGGGGGGGGGGGGGGGGGGGGGGGGCAAAATGTCAAAATATTACATGCAATATCTCCTAAAAAAAGAATGCTCTACCAAGCTACTAAAATAAAACTAGAGATACTGTGAGCAATAAGCTCACTAAAAGTAATGATAACCCCCGCCTCCGTATCTACAGCAAAATTACTTTGTAAACATCAATGATTTTACATAAAATCACTCTAGAGTTAAAATTCAAAGGGAGCTGGAGTTCCTTATTGAAAGAAATAATTAAGTCTTCGGAGACCGTCTTCCAACAAATTGTTAAGATTCTAATGGACAATAATTGCACTCCTTTATTAGCCGACCCGTTTTTTTTTTCTATGAATCAGAATGTATTAAAAAACGTCTATATGAGAGTAAGAAAACATTTGCTGTGGCCTTTGATTACTTGACATTCAGATTTATCAATTGACAACTGTTACTTCCATAATATATCCCAGTAAACTTAAAGCCTGTGATGATAAGGGTCAACTAATAACTATTGTTTGACAAACAAGATAACTTAGGTTTTTCGCCGTCAACTCTCTTTCTTCGTTTAGTAATACATGCATTCCACTATCACCTGCATAGGGTGTTTACATTTCCTAACTTAGATACTCAAGGACGTTTTCTAGACAATTAACTTTAAATCAAGGCAAGCTACTACAAATAAATTGATACACCCGGATGTCAAAAAATTACTTTGTTAACATGCATCCTGTTTAAAAACATACATGTAACCTATGGCTGAGTCATAGTTTGGCACTCTTTCATACCAGTTGTTATGCCTTTTTATTTTTAATAAAAAAAAAGAAGACTTCACTACGAAATGTCCGTCTATCTCATCAATACACAGGACTCAAGGTGGGCGTGTCTTGTCAACAAGTGAAGCTTACTCCTCCTAGAACCATGATGTCACTTTTTTTGTTTCAGTGAATCAATAGAACTTACTGTTTAAATATTTTTTTTTTAAATCGATCACTGTCCGTTATCTTCAACCTTTGCATTGACAATGGCCTTTGATATCCTGCAATCAATGTTCAATAAATAAAAATACAATGAAGTGAAACAACACTGTGAAAATTCCTCATTAGATCTCTCTCTCTCTCTCTCTCTAAGCAGGTCAACTAATAACTATTGTTTGACCCCAAATCAAATAAAATGAATTACCTTGCGGTGTCTAGGAGGGTGTTCACAATGTTTTGCATTGCGGTGTAGGTCATACATGGACATTCCACCATCCGAACACGTTGCTTGGGCCAGAGGTGATCCTTTTCTGAGACGCTTACCCAAAAGCACACACTACCGTAGCCAATGTCATTGTACAAATGATTTTAAATTCCATTGCAGGGGGCCGTAAGCAATCTGAAAAAAAAATTTAAATTGTTTAAAAAAAACCAACAAAACAAGTATCTCTTAAAAAATTTTCACTTTAAAGTTAACATGCATCCTGTTAAAATATACATGTAAAACATTTTAAGTTGATTCTTCTCTGGTTTCTGACTAGATGAAACATTCAAAGTACATTTGCTTATATGCCTTTTATATTTATTTAAAAAAAAAAGCCTTCATATTTTTCTTTCTCATCACAATTGTCAACTTTAAATAGATCAAGGTAAACTGCGTTTGAAAACTAAGTGAAGCTTATTCCTCCTAGAAGCATGATGCCAATATCTTCTGTTTCTGCCTCTAAAACTAGAATAGACAATTTAATTATTTTTTTACACAATCAGAGACTTCCGTTCTCTTCATTTTCAAATGTAATGTTTTTTAATACTGCAATCAATGTTCAATATATCAAAAATACATGAAGTGAAACAAACTAAAACTATGAAAATTCCAAAGTACAGAGTCTCTCTCTCTCCATCTCTCTCTCTCTCTCTCTCTCTCTCTCTCTCTCTCTCTCTCTCTCTCTCTCTCTCTCTCTCTCTCTCTCTCCGAAAAAGTTAAATATAGGAAGCATATGAAAATAACTAATATATCAAAAAAAAAATTACCCTGCGGTGAAAAACAGAGAAAATTTCACAATGTTTTGCAATATCCGGTTTAGTTAAATTATTCATGTAAATTTAATAATAACATGCTATAGGGCCAGATATAGCGAGATCCTTTTTATGCAAAAAGAACAATCTTTAAACTTTTGAACACACTAGAAGTAGCCATCACATGATTGGCAACAGTATTTTTTCATTCATAATGTCAGGAAAAGGATAATGACCTTGAAAAAGATTTTGATTTATATAAAAAACAACAAATCTAATCTCATTGAATCATCACTTAGATTTTCACTTCTTGTTTAAAATATTAATTTTTATGATATAAAACATCTTAAGCATAATCCTAAAACGTCAAATTCATGTTTATGTAAAGCCCGTTCACTTCTCTGAAGAGAATAGTTTTTCTTCATCGAGTGATTCATTGAGGGGCAATATGAAAACCATCTATTCTTCTGTTTTTCAAAATAGAATAAGATGGTATAAAGACTATGTCCTGATCACAGTTGAAAATTATCTCTGCATTAAAGGTTTATTATTTGTAGTGTAGAGGAACTTGGGTTTAATTCTAAAAGCGATAATCAAAATTTTGCCCATACCTCCCTTCCTATAAGAAGGAAATTCTTAAAAACCACACCTATACAGGATTCCCAATTCATACCGCTTTCTTTACTCTTTATACTTAAATATTACCAGCAGTGAAGGAGAAACTTCAAGTGTTCTTTACAACAATATATTCGAAAAGTGGTGTTCATCAGATTTGGATAATTACAAACTCCAAGGAACTTTGGAATCTCAAAACATTACCAATATCAATACCACCATATTATACGACTTTTCCCCAAGTTAAATTAAAGTCCAGACTTTTTGACATCATAAATAGCTGCTTTTTCTTTCAATGAAATCTCGAGATTCTGATAAACAAATTTATATAGTTTTCGGAGATTATTTCTTCCAACATTCTGTCGAGATTTCCAACTGAGCTCCGTTATATAAGCATACCTATAATTAAGAAACTACTACAAGATTGAAAGACTTATAAGAAATCTATCTCTGGTGGAAACTTTGCAGTCTTAGTTTTAGTAAAAGTTTTTTTTTTGATTTATTAAAATGATTATCTGCTGGCTGCATGTATTATATATTGTTCAATTCCTAACGGATTCTAGACCCCAGAGATGGAAAAGTTAGTCAGATATGTAATTTACCATTGTGAAAACACAATGTTGGATTTTTGTTATTTCCCGATCATGACAAGGACCTGTAGCACACGGTGGGTGTGACCGGTCTGCGGGGGATGTTCACTCCTCCGTGGCACCTGATCCCACATCTGATGTATTAGAGGTCCGTGTTTCTTCTGCTCCTGATTTGCATTGTTTAGATACAATTTTGAGCTTGAATATTGCTCGTTATCTGCAAATATCTCACTTAAGGTACATTGATACTCTGATAAGAGAGATAACTCTTAATGACACAAATGTCTATCATTCTTTATAAATTTTTCAAGTGGAAGTGCCTTTTTGTTAAAATTTGCCCCGCAAGCCATGATAAAATTGTCTGCATTTTATCATGTTTATTTAGCATATACTTTTCTTTTGGAAAATCATAAAAGTTAAAGAAACATTTTATATGAGTAAGCAGAGGGTTTATGAACCTTAAGAATTGTCTCGGAAGAATCTCTTAATATTGGAGTTGAAATTCCATTATCAAATTACTGATACTTACTTTGAAAAGCACAAAATAAAATACATATCCATATAATTAACAATGAATCTACTTTTCTTTTCATCATATCTAGCTTGGGTATATAGCAACAAACTGTATAGATATATGAGACTAAAAAGTAGATATGTAGAACATACATGTATATATTTGATTTAATGGAATCAAACAGGATATAATTGTTTAACTTTTATCCATACTCAAACAATGGTCACTCAATCCTCGACTTTGTGGGAGAGAGAAAAAAGAGCCGATGTCCATCTAGATCTCCTACACAAATTGAAATTGACGATTTTAATAAATTACTTGCAACAGGCAATAAAAACAATATTCTCTTTATTCTTCTTGCTTAGAACTATTTCTTTTTTAAGTTCAGTTACAAGTAGCTATAGGAGCATAATTACAGAGTTGGATAGTGTGTATAGTAAAAGCTGCCTGATCCAGTGCCTGCTCAATCTGTTACACTGTGAATTTCGACATTTATTTTTAAAATTACGTTTGTCAATCCAACATTTTTTTTTAATTTGCGTCCCATTCTTTTTACCTGGGTAACTAGTGTAGAAGAAAAAGTAATTATTTAACAACTTTTTGAAGCAAATATTTTTCAATATGTATCATATTTTCAGCATATGAACATTTTAGCCTGAACTGGTGTCTGGATCATAACTTTGGATTTTGGCTAAAGATTAACAAAATTTCACGAATAAAAAGATTTTATGATATATACAATTAATTGCATTTTAAATATAAAAGTTTACAATAAAGTCCTACTCAAGAGATTGAAGCCACGGGCTGCAGATTTCATGATTTTGCTGAAGAGTTCGTAGCAATCATGAATTCTTGAACCCCTCTATCTAAGAGGAATTGATTGTTTAAATTTATGGTTATATGACCACATCCCTACACATAAGGAAATTCTAAAGTTTCTTCCTCTTTGAATAGATGCGTTTAACCAAAACTAATTGTAAATCAGGTTCAGTTGTTCAAGACAATAAGCTGAACATTAGTTTACGTCTGACATACTTCGCATGCCGCATCATGAAGAACAACCAGAAGTCTCTGTCGAGACTGTAGCTCTACTGGTTTGTACTTATAACAAAGGACGAGAAAAGAAGCCATTGCCATCATACCACAACTGTAGAAGGAGTAGCGTTTTAAAGGAATTTCACAGATATTTCTATTTTTAGTAACAATGGCAACACTATTCATCAAAATCAAAAACCGATGCACTATTTTATATATCTTAGTGTAGTCTACTTGTTTGCCAACTTATATTGCAATCAGACCAAAACTGTAGGAGGAGTAATGTTTTAAAGGAATTTCACATGAAATTCTTTTTTTAGTAACCATGGCAACACCGTTCATTGAAATCAAAATCCGATGCATTATTCTATGTATCTTAGTGTAGACTACTTGTGTGCCAAGTTATACTGAAATCAGACCGAAACTGTAGGAGGAGTAAATTTTTAAAGGAATTTCACAGAAAATTCTATTTTTAGTAACAATGACAACACCGTTCAACGAAATCAAAAACCGATGCACTATTTTATGTATCTTAGTGTAGTCTACTTGTGTGCCATGTTATATTGAAATCAGATCAAAATTGTAGGAGGAGTAGTGTTTTAAAGGAATTTCACAGAAAATTCTATTATTAGTTACCATGGCAACAACGTTCATCGAAATCAAAAACCGATGCACTATTTAATGTACCTTAGTGTAGTCTACTTGTGTGCCAAGTTATATTGAAATCAGATCAAAATTATAGGAGGAGTAGCGTTTTAAAGGAATTTCACAGAAAATTCTATTTTTAGTAACCATGGCAACACCTTTCATTGAAATCAAAATCCGATGCACTATTTTATGTATCTTTGTGTAGTCTACTTGTATGCCAAGTTATATTAAAATCAGACCAAAACTGTAGGAGGAGTAGCGTTTTGAAAAATTGTTTACAGACAGACGGACGGACGACGGACACCTTACTATCGCATAAGCTCTTCACCGCCACCAAAAGTAGTTGAGTATAAATCTCAGGCTCAACTCTGACAAAATTCTCAAACCCATAATCTCAGCCTCAAGTCACCGCCACCAAATATTTGAGTACATACTCAAGTCAAAAATTTGATTACGTACTCAAATTATTTGAGCTAGATCTTGACCTTTCTCAAGTAAATACTCAAGCAATACAAATGGCTGCTCACAGACGACATAAACGGCGCAGCCGGCGACAAATGCGACATATTCGTCGAATTTCAAAAGAGTAATTAATACGAGACCGAATGAATCCATTAGAGGTAAATTCTGAGGATAAGATTTTTGATAGGTATAGGTTTAGAACACCAAATATCCTATATATTTTGGACAAAATCAGTCCAGCAATTACGCATAATACAACGAAGAACAGCGCCTTACCTCCAGTCCTGCAGATTCTCACCTGCCTGAGGTTCCTAGCAACGGGGGCGTTTCACAGACTGGTCGGGGACAGCATTGGAGTGTCT